ACGCCATGTTATAGAACACAAGTTCGGCTAGCCAGACTGGAACCAATGATATCATCGGAAATGTTATAGAACTGATGTGATCTTGTCGAGTTTTGATCAAATCAATAATCTAATCGATCCAACCAGTTCAAATGAATCGATGACTTGATCATTTTCTTAATGAATTGATATATGTTGTGACTTTAAAAAATAGTATAATATATTTATTATAATTTTAAAAATATAAATTCAAAGATTATGAATTTTTTAAAATATACTAGTTAATTTGATTTGACCTCTAACCCCTTATTGTGCGGGTTAGTCAACAACCTGTGATAACAAATTAACAATGCTTGCATCAGTTGCAAATTGAAATGTTGCATGTTCGGTGAAGAGAGGGAAATAAAAAAAGGAAAACAACAGTCTCATTTCCGAAAATACCCTAACAACACATCTCTATAGTCTATAGTGTCTCTTTATAATATTGTTTGTATTCTATTTATTTTTCCTCTATCTTTTTTTTTTTTTTTTGATAGGCAAATGTTAATAGTTAGTAATTAGTAGTTATCTCCGCAGGGTCCTAGGGGGACTCGAACCTCCATCTTGCCTTATCCCTCCAGCCCCAGGACCACCTCCTTTTACCACCAGACCACCTTATCACTCCTATTTTTCCTCTATCTTTTATCCACTCTTTTTTTTTCTTCAACTTATTTTTTTTATTGTAAAATAGTATCCAGTATCTATTGATTATTTCCTCCGGCGCTGTGCTAACGAAAATGTTGCAAAAATCAGAGGCTGGAATATAACTTTTTTTAATAAAGAAATATAACTCCTTGACTTTGAGCTAATTAATTTATGGAGGGAATGAGCAAGGGATTGGTGGGTGTACCTTCCATTTTAAGTCGGTAATATATGATGTCACGACAATCATGGTCGAGCTGAAATTTACCTCGACCTCAAGTCATCTCGTCACATCGATTAAAAGCTAGATTATTCTCCAACTGACAAGATAAAAAGATAAGTGTATAATCTCATATTAATCAACTAAGATATCCGCATAAGGAGAAAAACTCTAATCAAATATCAAGATACGTCCATTATAAATACGAGACACTCACACCTAAAGAAACTAACTTAAGTATCGGAGTCTCTTTTACAGGTACCATTCTCATCTTGGAGTGTCCAACTTGCGAAGCAGAGGAAGCTCACTAATTTCATCGAAGAGGTTGTCACTAGGCCAACTTCAAATGAGAACAGAAAGTAAATATATAAGTTCTAATTTTGATCATGATTAACAATGGTAATAAGCAAGTATTTTCTATACTATTAATAAATGAAAGTTTTCTAGCATCATCATAATTACCCTTAAAAAAAACATAATCGTAACTATTATAAAGAGAATTTATATTTATACAATTATCTTACAAATATGAGATAGATAAAAAGAGTTGTTTTACATGAAAAATTTATAACTTTCATCTAAACTTATATTTAACTGTCATAATTGAATAAATTCACTGTAAAAATATAATATATCTTTATATTTTAAATACATGGTACGTATCATATGATATGACTGTTTAACAAAATCAAAAATTTCATATCATCCGGACGTAAATCAAAATAAATATTTCTCTTTTATTTTCGTCATTGGTTTCTTTCAATATAAAAATAATCATTTAACTAATTTTATTATATTCACATTAAAAATAATCTCTTCTCTCGTTTTCTTTCCACTGTTCTAAACACAACATTAATTAAGCAAAAAAAACAATATATACTGTACGACATATATAAAGAAATGTACTTTAGAAAAACAAAAAAGAGAAAAACACGACAAAGATATGAGCGGAATGATTAAAGCAAATAAGAAAAAGTTGATGAGACAAAGCATTGCTTGAAAATGCAGGTTAATTTATCCATCATCCTACAGTGTGTTTGTGAGAGAAAAAAGGGTTTAAAGTTTAAACTGTAAAGCATAAACAAAGGGACTTGCTTTATGACACATTGTCTTGCTGCCTCCTACCTCCTTTGTAATGAGATACCATCTAACCTATGACTCCTAACAACAGCAATAAAGGATTTAGGGTTTTGTTGGACTTTATGGATATGTTAAGATTAGGATTGACACTTGACACCGATCGAGGTCTTTCATCACCCTTTGTCAACAAGTCCTGCCAGCCTAGCCTACCCATGTGATGAAAGTACCAAGTCATCCAAGGTAGTTGTCAACAATTAATCATCATCAACATGTCATGTGTTTCTCTTTTATTTATTTTATAATCACATTTATATTTTTAAAATTTTATTCAAATTAGATATATCACTTATAAATGACAAAATTGTATTTATATTTGAATTAGATAAGATCATTATAAATAACAAAATTCTCTTATAAATATTTAACACAACTAACTTGAATTTTACATGGGTGATTAAAGTGAAACAATTATATTTCGGTTGATGTATATGGGTTGGTGTTGTCATGTGGATTTTTTGCTTTTGCCATCCACCACACATGAACTATGTTGCTAATCACACCTTTGGGACCTAAGTTATGAATCCTAATGTTGCTGTTTTAGCCTACATAATTGTTTTGTGTATATTGATTCCACGCCAAAATTGCCTTGTCGGAGAGACGTCCAATTCTGATGAAAGTGCAGTGGCCAAAACCATTAATTAGGAGAACAATTTAGAAATGAGTTGCAAAAGTGTGGGGCAAAAGCAACATATTTTTTACTATAGTGATACTGTAGACATTTCAAAATCAAATCATGTTATAATCCCGAGCAAACTTTATGAATTCTTTTTGGCCAAGTAACCATCATTGGGTACCTCATCATGATATGTTTTTGAGGTCAAAGCTGAATGGCCCCAACGAGAATGAAAAGACAAAGGAGGATCACGGGATGAAACAACAAACACAACGTATCCTTAGTTTGTGTAAAACCTTTTTAATATAGTTATCTTAAATAAAAAATAAAAAAATTACTATTAATATACATTTTAAGATACTTATAATAAAGTAAACAATATTATGCATGATGATTGACAGTCATTAATTAGTATAGTGTTGTGAAACTATGCATAATTATTAGTAGCGATTAAATGATAGTGTAAAGATATTTTATATTTTTATTACATGGTTTTTTCTTCTTTTTTTTAATTTAATTGAAATGAAATGCATTATAATGCTGCTCTGTCACATGTGTTTTTATTTTTTAACTAAAGTATTTATCGATCGAAAGTTAAAGATTAATTGTCTATAATTATTTATAATATACATTTTTAATAATAGTTCAATCACATATACTAATGTATAATATGTTAATTAATTTTTATAATAACTATTTAAAAAATTATTAAAATATTGTTTTTGATTGATTGATAATAATAGTAATAATGCATGATAATTAAACTCTTTTTTTTTTCATTCAGGTTATTGTGCCTTTTAACGTTAAACAGTGGGATATCAAGAAGATTCTTTGTTTATACTTTTTTTTGTAGAATTTAAGTTATTTGTAATTTATAAAAAATAAATAAATTTTCTGATATAAATTTATCTTGAGGATGTAGACAAAATTACAGGAAATTGTTACTTAATAATTCATGACATTATTACGTTTTAAATTATTTTCTATCTTAAATCAGAGATTTAAAAAAAATGAGGACTGATGGACCCGTTCACAAGTAGTGCCAAAATATTAAAATTTGAATATTTTATATTCATAATAATCTTTTTTGTCAATGGACAAGAGTATTCCCGACCTGCCATGCACGGTATCTAAAAAGACTGGATCCTCTTCAGCAACAACGCACGTGGATGTGTTATTTTAATTATATTAGTTTTGATTTTTTTTTAAGTAATTTTTTTGTGTGTGATTTTCATTTAGATAATAAATTGTAATTTTACTTTCAATTTTAATTAAATATGAACAGATTCAACATTGGATCATTGCGTAATTAGACACATTGATCATCCCATTCATTGAATATCATTCTCATCCTTCTTAACTCAATTTGAATTGGACAAAACATTTTCCTTTTCATGACATACACAAAACCGACCAAAATCACATGCAAAGCACACATTTTAAGGTTTGGCCTTTTTTCCGCGGGCAGAGTGTAGCATATTTGAGGGCTTGGATTGGAAGACACTTTCACGGGCCAGTCCAGAATCAATTTGGAGCTTTTAGGTCTTCCGTTTTGGGGCTAAACGACTAATTTGGTGTAGTTTTACAAACTAATTACCAAAATGGGGTTGTTTTGAAACATATTACACTAATCCCTGCAACAGAGCTATATGTCACGATACATTCTGATAACGTCGAATTTATAAAAAAAAATGGCATTCAAACTTGTACAAACTACGAAATAAATATTTATTTTATATTATAAATAAATAATTTAAATAATTTGATTATATAAATTATATTATAATTAAAATTTATAAAAATAAATATTTATAAATTATGTTCTAACCTCAACTTGGATATTAATGAATCGTAAAGATAACTTTAAATAAAGTATTGTTTATTTTTTATATTTATTAGATTGTCACCACTCTTGAAAAAGCATATCAATAGAATTAAATTAAGAAGATATGTGCTTTGCAAATATTATTATTGAATTCAATTCTTAAGTGATAATGCATGTAAAAAAAATTATTATTGAGGAAAATTAAATTTAAATTTATGATATTTATAGTGTTATAATTAAAATCATCTTAATAAGTAATTATTTCTTTAAAACTGTAGAAATTTATTTTAAAAACAAGGATGAAAAAAATTATGAATATACTCGTTAAAAAAAAATTTATATTTAATCTTGAATTGTCTTGTTGGACAGTTTGGGATGAGTAATTTTCTTTATACTTGTTTGATACGTACAAGTTAAGTCTCATCTTAAATTTGATTAAATTTTGGTTTATTGCATTTTTGTGTTGTTCTTCGAGTGCATATTTGATTGTGGTGTATATAATTTGATGTCACCACTTTCATTTCATGTACTTAGAGACCAATACAAAGTGCTGTCAAAATTTTGTCAAGTTTAAGAAAATGGATTGTACTAGTACATATTGATCAAGTATAAAATAAAATCTTGAATGGGATAGGGTCACACCTTGTATAAAATAGTGAGATTGACATTCATGGTCTATCTTTTTGATAGAGATCATAACTTATGGATCAAAGTTGGTTATTGGATCGAAGTTGGATACGAGCGCCACGCATAAGTGAGCAATATGAGACTGGAGTGAAATATTTTATTGAATATGTAATACGGAATGTTGATGATGATATGAATGGAAAGTTTTTCTGCCCTTGTGTTAATTGTTGTAATGGGAGTCGTTTAGAACTTGATGTTATAAGGGAACATCTTCTATGTGATGGGTTTCTTAAGAATTATACACATTGGATATGGCATGGTGAACCAGTTGGTGGAGCTAAAGGTCTCTCAAGTTATAGCAACTTATGAGCAAAAATTTAGTCAGATGCAAGAGGAGATTCATAAGCGACTACAAAAGGACATGCAAAGGAAACTACAAGAGCATATGCAATCACTGAGCCAACAATTTCAACAAAGTGCTCCACTATTAGAACCATTTATTGCACGTGTGAGTACAAAGGGATCATGTGCATCTATTGATCCCCCTTTTACTGCCACTAGCCCAGGTACATCTAATAAATGTGAGTTGTTTGTGGATGGATCACTCGATCCTGTGGGTATAGGGCAGATTCACATATTAGGGTCCACTGTACACCATCAAGTCATGGGAGATGATATGGTTAGGGTCTCAGTGTTGGATGTGAGACAACCAGAGGCTAGAGTTCCTGTGCCCACAGAGGAGGTTCAGACAATGGGACAAGCCTTGAGCACCTTCCTTCAGTGGCCTCATAAGTTAGTAAAGGTGATATCTACGAAGGTATGTTATTTAAATAATATTTAATTTTAAGTTGGTGTAATTTTATTATAATATTGTATAATATTAGTTTTGTACTTTGTGGAATAGGATATTGTTACCTCACCAAAGGGTAAAGGGACGATCATTGTTACCCCTTCTAGAAATCTTCCTCCAATAAAGAGGCTATGGAGATTAGTTGCAGATATGGAGGATGACGAGCAACCCAAACAACTCCCTTGGCCTCTTGAAGTGTTTAACATGTCTAGTAAAGTACCTCTATATATAAGTCGGAGTGATATATCAGAGATTACAAATGGTCATTCTATGCTAAACATATCAATTTTGCAGTTATGGTTGATGTAAGTATTTAAATTATTTTTAATTATATTTTGTTGATTTTTAATTTTTTTCATCCTTGTTTTTAAAATAAATTTCTACAGTTTTAAAGAAATAATTACTTATTAAGATGATTTTAATTATAACACTATAAATATCATAAATTTAAATATAATTTTCTTCAATAATAACTTTTTTTACATGCATTATCACTTAAGAATTGAATTCAATAATAATATTTGCAAAGCACATATCTTCTAATTAGTTTGTAAAACTACACCAAATTAGTCGTTTAGCCTCCGTTTTGGTACTCTCTCTCCCCTTCCCTTCCCCTCCCCAAAAGCCCTTTTCTCCGTTGGTTGAAGATTCACTGTGTTTGGGGCAAACTTGATTTTAAATGATTTTGATTTTGAAATTTTAATTTTAATTAAAAAAAAATTGAAGTGTTTTTAGCATATTAATTTTTTTCAGATAGTTTAAATTTAAGTCATTTCTGAAAATTTTATATCATTTTATCAAAAAGTTGTTGGATATGTAAGAAGTTGAATTGGTATTCAAATTCATTTATGTAATTATTTAATATAAAATGATATGTTTGTTATTCACAAGTTTAGTTCATGTAACTTGAAAAACAAGCTCTAATCTAAAAGGATTTCTCCGAAGACAGGCATGATCTTGGAGAACAAACAACTCCCTTGGCTCTCATGGGTTGTTCCATAAACCAGTGGGCTTTCTTTAAAATTTAAAATATGAGAATGACAAAGCAGAGGAACTGCTTCAGAAAATGATCGTTGATGATCTGAGCAAATGATAAAACCAAGTAAGATGTCCTAGTTACTCTAAAATTTATACTGAAGACTGGTTGTCTAAATGATTAGCAGATGCAAGTTTCTTTTGCATCAAACAAGTTAGACTACACCAAGCCCAGCTCTTCTTGGCAAGTTTTGCTCTTTGACATTGGGCTGTGGCTATTGATTGATGACTCATGATAAACACACCTCCACTCTCCTATAAGCACACCCCCTTTTAAAAAAATATATATATAAAATGTCTAAATTATCCTTAAAAAAAAAATTCCTAAATTTACACCCCTCCTTCCTCGCACCCCCTTCCTCGCACCCCCTTCCCCGCAAGCAGAACGGGTCGTACTGCAAGCAGAACGGGCCGTACTGATTGCAATACGTCCCGTTCTGTTTTCAGTGCTGGCCGTTCTGCAGAAAAACGGGCCGTACTTTTTTCAGTACGCCCCGTTCTGCAAGCAGTACGCCACGTTCTTCAATCAGTACGGCCCGTTCTGCAAGCAGTACAGGCCGTTCTGCTTGCAGCAAGGGCCGTTCTGCTTGCAGCAAGGGCCGTTCTGCTTGCAGCAAGGGCCGTTCTGGGGCCGTTCTGTTGCAGTACAGGCCACCGCGTCACTTTTAAAATGGCTACCTTATGACTGATTTTAAAACCCCGATTTTAAAAGTTATTTTTGTACTAATCTTTCTTTTCATAGAACAAGTAAGAGTCTTTCTCATACAAAATCACTTGCCGACATTGCGCACCCCTCTTCTTTCTCTTTCTGGCACTCCTCTTCTTCTTCTTCTTACTGTTACGAAAAGTTCTTTCCGGAATTATATAAAAATGTTCCGGAAAATACTTTCCATAATATTAAATTCTTATTCCGGAAAGTATTTTCCGGAAATATTTTGTTATATAATTCCGGAAAGTATTTTCCATAATATTAAAGTTACTATTACGGAAAGTTCTTTCCGGAATTATATGAACAATAATTTCTATTCCGAAAAGTACTTTCCGGAATGCTAATGACTGTAAAAGTACTTTTCGAAATGCTATGACTGTAAAAGAACCTTTCTTATGCTGATTATGGTGGGACTAGTCCTTTTTTTCTATTCAGAATGACTGTAAAAGTATATTGCTTAATAACATTGAGCGGAAAGAGACTTTGGGAAGAAGAGGGGTGTGAAATGTGGGGTGCGGGGAAGGAGGGTGGGGGAAGGGAGGTGTAAATTTAAGAATTTCATTTTTTTTAAAGGGTAATTTAGACATTTTATATATTTTTTTTTAAAAAGGGGGTGTGTTTATATGAGAGTGGAGGTGTGTTTATCACCAGCCTTGATTGATTTGTTCTTGTTTCTTGGTCAAGGTTTGCTCTTTCACATTGGGTTGTGGCTATTGATTAGCTTTTGTATTTAGGGCTTAGGGTTTGTTGTTGCTGTTATCGGTGGTGGCGGTGATAGTGTTTTTTGGGCTAGTTTTGCTCCTTGACATTGGGCCGTGGCTATATATTGATTCTTGGATCTGTATAGTAGCTTAAATATTGAGCTTTTTATACTTTATCTTGTTAACTAATAATCCTTGTAAGATTCAATGAAAAATAGGAATTCACAAAGAAATCTAGTTCCGTGCTGTTATCGATAATCTACACTGTTCCCCATAATATAGGTTTTGTAATCCTTGTGCTACTAGTCAACACCAGGGCTGTCGTTGGATCCTTAGTCTTTAATAACTTTGTATTCTGGTTAGCTTTTATTGAATACCTTGTATGATCCCTTGCTGAGGATTACCAAACCATGAACCGTATTGCTTACGTGTAGCTTTCAACCGGATTACAAGACAATCTTGCAGGGGATATAGTAGAAATCAAGTACAACGCACTGAAAGATCTTTCCCTTCTCATTGCAGAGGAAAGACAGCATTCCCTACAATATATGTTCCAAAAACAGTTCTCTCATATGTAAACAGACATTATACTTAATGGTGAGATAGTCTTGCTTTTACGTTTCCCCCGCGGAAAATATGAATATCCATTTTGGCTGCTTCAAATAGTAATGCAAAAACACTAATAAATGTAAAATGTTCAGATGTTTAAGTTTAACAGTTACAATGAGCAAGTCAGAGACCATTCACTATGATTTAATGATTTATTTTACGCTGTACGTAGCCCAACAGGAATATCAAAAAAGTTACCCCACCAATCCTGGACATATAACATCGACACCAGTCAAAAGAACAGTGTTCAGACCCTGATCAAACAAGCCCGATGTTGAAAATATTTCGAGTCTGGCCCCAGCAAGCATATCATAAAGACAAAAGATTATCTATCATAACCTGATATTATTTTGCCTATCATAAAGACAAAAACTGCTGGCAAAACTTGGAATTGTATAACCCCATCCAAACGGCATCAATTGATTTAGTAGACAAATAGAGTAAGCGAGTTAAGTTTAATTCGGATATTCTTTTCAGCAAATGCTGAAGAGAAGAAATATTCAATTGAAATGAATTAAACTTTTTCCATGAATTAAAATCAAGTTAAGCTTTTCAATTTTTGAAAGAAAAAAAAAGTTGAGAGCTTCTAAAACAGATGTACATTTGATTTTATGATATCAAAGAAACTTGATTTATTTTACCTCATATCCATCTGTGTTTGAGAGTTATCTAAATTAGACCACATTGATGATATCACCACTCATGGAAGATGCATCCGTATCCACCAAGAACAGAAATAATTGAGACAACAGACAACGTTTTGGCAAAAACAATTGGTTTAGAATTAGGTCACCCAACAGACAAAGACTAGCCAACAAACCATAGGGGCGGATCTATTTGACTTTCAAGGATTGATGTATGTAATTATGTATACTAAAACCTATCATTCCACGTTCCCGCGTGTAAGTTGGTTTCTATGAAGGACCAAAACATGTAGTTGCCATCGCGGAATATTTTACAGTCCAAATTCCATCAACATTAGGACCATCACAATTTAATTCATTTAAAGATCAAACAACGACATCCGATACAAAAGCTCATAAAAACACTGATAAGCATGCAATAGCATTTGAAGAAATGCTATATAAATTAATCAGGAGAATAAGTATTTAATTTATTTCTATTCATATAGAAAATGGTATATACATGACACCGTATGACAGTCACCAACATTTTAAATATGTGGCAGAAAGAAAGACACAGACAAATTTACGCGCCACAAGGGACGTTATAGATGAAAACTGACTTGCAACTGCCCAATCTCACTGAGTCATGACTGAAACAGCATTCATAATGTTTTGCCACCATGATTAAGGAATTGAACGATTCTAAGCAATTGCCATGTATGTATCATATCATGGGTTTACTTTAGGGTAGAGTGACATCGATTAATTCTAAAAACTGAAGCAGATACTGCAAAAGACGGCTACAAATCCTTCCTCAGTTTTCTTTGAAAATAAACAGAAAATATAGTAAAGGCGGTAAACTTCACAAAATAAGAAAAGTCAAAGAGAAACAAAGATGACTAGAGGAAAAGAAAGACTGATGAGGAAGGTAACTAGCAAACTGTAAGACCATCTAGAAGCAGACTGATAAACGATGCACACTGTAAAGTCATATCAGGCAAAGAAGGAAAGTGAAACATATCAGTACAGAAGTTAAAAGATTAAGGATTGTAGAAAGAAGAAACCCAGAAGAAATAATACAGAGGAAGAAGGGCCAGGAGGAGAACATTACACACTACAGTATATACATATAATATCTATAGAGGCATAATACTATCTGAGAATAAAGGAATGTAAACCATTCTATGAGAAGATGGTGCTGAGAATTATCTACTCATATATTATAAATTAGAATACCAAACAAAAAAAATAACAGAATTCAAGTGTGGCCCCAATAAGCATATATCATAAATTCATAATTACACCATACCAGCAGAACATGAAAGCAACACCAGTAGCCAAAATGGGCGAGTAAAACTTGAAATTATATAATCCCATCCAAAAAGTCATCAGCCAATTACCAATCAAAAGATTCAAAACAACGTCCCACACATTAAACAAACAAATTGAAGTTAACTTTAACAAGCATTGCAGCTAGTCCCATTGGAAACAAATAATCAAAGTGATGAGGATCAGTCAAAAACCCACTGGCAGCATAGAAAATTGTTTCCATAAAAAAACCCACATGCTTTTGCAAGTTGCAGCAAGAGATAAACCTACCAACTAGCCATTCCATTTCATAGAAATTCACAAGAAACAGATATTTGTATTAACCAAACCACTAAAGAAGTTAGTCATTCCGTTAAACTAGTTAGGTGGTTGTTTAACTGGTTGTGTAAGTTATAATCCGCTACTGTTAGCTAACAGTGTAAAGCATATGCATGCCAACTCACATAGTTAAAGAGGCAAAGATCATCTCTCTATTTTTTCAGTCTTAATATGTCATCTAATCTATTCTCCAAGTCTATAAACCCCACAGGAAAGTAACAATATAGCCAGCAGAAGAAAAAAAATGCAGAGCACAACTATAGTTCAGGAAAGTACAGAAGCTAAACATACATAAATACTAGCTATCATGCATCAGCACCATCGGAGGCTTTTGCAGCAAAAGGATCATGAGTTGGACCAACATCCTGACCAATGTGACGCTGCACAAGGCGCTGCAGATCAGCCATAACCTTGTGCTCCCTTTTGGCCTTCTCTTCATAGTTAAACATAGCCAAAGCACGTTTATCCTCAGCACTGTAAACCTGGTTTTCCTTCCTAATACGAATGGCATTCATCCTCTGATGCCTACTACCACTCATCACATAACCCAGGCTCTCAAACTTCTGAATCTCCTCCGCAGAAAGACCCACTTCTCCTCTTCGAGGAATACGCTTCCCTTGTTGAACATACTGCGCAATGGCATCACCTTCACCAGGCCGAAGTGCCCCACCATAGCTGATATGCCCCTCCGCTCTAGGCAACGGCATTGGCCCAACCGCGGGTTCGTTATCCAAAGCGGGTTTCTTCTGAGACTCGAACAACTCCTTCAACTTTATAGCCTCCGCGTTCATTTCAGTCATCATTGCCTCATCAACTGCTGCTTTGGTCACTGCATCACCAGAACCAGAACCAGAACCATTCTCCTCCTCCGAATGAGATTTCTCGCTCTCCGTTTCGGAGTTCCTCTTTGTTGTTCTTCTGTGCCTTCTGCTTCGTTTCGATTTTGACCTAGAAGAAGAAGAGCGTTTCTTCCTCTTTCTTATACTGACATCCGAGGCATCGCTGTCGCTCTCTTCACTCTCGTCTGAATCACTATATCTTCTATTCTTGTTCTTATTACTCCTCCTTCTTCTATTCCTCCTACTCTTTCTTCTACTACGCTCCTCTTCTTCTGAATCTGATTCAGATTCAGATTCTGATTCTGATTCACTTTCGCTATACGATCTCCTCGAAGAACCAGCAGAGCTCTTCCTTCTCTTCTTCCTCGAACGCGAATCCTCTGATTCACTACTGACGGATTTCTCAGATTCGGAATCAGATTCCAATTCCGATTTTCCTTTAGGTTTAACCGCCTTCTCGATCTTCACAACGGCGGCGTCTCGATCAGAGATTTCATCGGGCTTGTGATAATCTTCCAGATCTTCGTTGTCGCGCCTCGGAGGACTCGGCGTGACGTTCCAGATGCAGTACTTCAGCGATTTCCTCATCTTCTGCCTCTTGAGCCTTCGGTATTCCTCATAGCTTAAACCCTTCAGCTCCTCGTCGGACTCAGAATCGGAGCGCTGCCAATCGCCGCGGTCACGGTCAAGATACGTGCCGTTTCGGCGGCCGAATTTCTTCGGCAGCGCGTTGTCGTTTGAGGTTCCGTTGGTGTGCCTAGGGTTTCGGTGTTCGGGCGATTCCGAACGGCGGCGGCGGTCGGTGTGGCGATCGTATGAGTCGTAACTAGGGCTGCGACGAAGGCGATAGTTGTCAGAGACATCGGAGTCGGGGGTGCGGCGACCGTTATGTCGGTGGCGTTCGCGAGGGATTTCAATGGTGGAAGATGGCCTTCCCATCGCGGAAAGACGGAATGGAATTATCGGAGGATATTTACTTGCACTAATATAATATATATACCATTTCAGGTTTTTTTCTTTAAATATTTTTTTTCTCAAATAAATTTATTTTTAATTTTATAAATTTAAAATTTTTATTTTATTTTCAAAAATTTTATTTTAATTCATCACATCACCAATAACATAAAATATAAATCAAATTTAATATAATATTTTTATTATAATGATATATATATATATATTTTATACAATAGTATTTTGATATATTTCATAACAATTAAAACATTCCTTAAAATTAGAGATTAAAAAATTAGTTTTAAATTTTAAAAATTAAAAAAAATTATCTTAAATATGAAAGATTAAAAATATATTTAAATATTTTTTATTTATTTAATTATTTTATTATAATTACTAGGAAAATAAATAAATGATAAATAATGAATTTATTAGTTCTTTAAAAGTATAAATGTCAAAATGAGTCTCAAATCGATCCATCAAATCATAAAAAGAGGTGAAATATATATCTTTGCCTATTAGTTCACCAATATCTTAAGTTTTAATGGTTGAGGAGTGTTATATCCTCCGAAAAGGATCCCAAACAACGTCCAAAAATTTAAAATATTAATATTTTATAATAATTTTACTATTAAATAATTATTTAATTTAATATTTTATAATTTAAATTAATTTTTTAAAGATTCAGAACGTATTTCGGAATACGTTCTTAGAGTTTGTAGATTTTTTCTGTTGGGTAAATTGTCTCGTCCACTTATTTAATTTTTAGATGTTATTTTTAATTTATATTATCGTCACATTAGGACATTTTAATTTTATTTCTATTTGTGTTAAATCATCTTGTGTGGTGTAAGAACTTTTTTTTAATTAAATGATAAGAATATTAAGTATCACTATAGAATCAATACATCCCAACAACATTAATACAACAAGGTTTATCAATCATTTGTAACACACCCTAAATAAGATTAAAAAAGATAAAATGTAACAAAGAAATTCACAAAGGGACTAGACAAAAACCATGAAACATTAGCAAAACTTAAATGAGGGCAATCCATAGTGGTTACAAAATAAAAAATCTCTAATGAAATTTGACGGTAAATCCACTGAACAAAAGTAATCATATGTTAAATCTCATAATACATAAGTTTACCTTCCCAACAAAATATAAGAAAAAAAACCTCACACACGAACATAGTTGTAGACATTGCTTCCATCTATTATGTATGATCCAATGAACAACATTAGCATCACTCAATGTTGTCACACCAAATTTGAATCACATTCTAACCAAAGGTTACACCAACCTACATTATGTTCATAATCAATAACCATCATTGCAGTTACTAATCCAACTTGTAAGGCATCCGTAAAACCCAAATAAGTTGCAAAGCCACCGATAAATGTTCCATTGTGATCTTTAAAAATTGCCCCACAAGTAACCAGACTAGGAACTCCAAGCCCCCCATCAGTGTTACACTTCACAAACCCATATGCAGTATGATACCAAACTACTTGCTTAACCATGAAAGGTTTAGGAGGATGAGCTATAATCATTGAAACAATTTGTTGGGAATTGATATCAATATCTTTAAAACAAACATCATTTCTTCTCAACCAAATTGACCATGTCATATGAACCAATGCTGACAACAACAACTCCTTAACTTCACCACTCCATTTGTGATCCAAAAAGAACAACACACTATACAATGAAGATAAATCAATGAATTGTTGAATAATGCATTGAAACCACAACCATAATTCTTTAGCAAATGAACAACGAAAAAAAAATGCTCCAAAGATTCCATAACTTCTTTATAAAGGTTACACCTAGACATCATCATCACTCTTCGATCACATAAGTTATCATCTATGGACAATTTATTATACAATAATCACCACATGATACAAGATTTAGTAGGAGGTGAAGAATTAGCCCACACGAGCTTTGCTCATGCATTTTGTTGCAATAGATCTTAGACATGATTAATATTTACCTTAAGAAAAAGTTGTCCTGGGTGAGATGGCTTTAGACCGATTAGTCACAACCTTGGCCACAATGGACACCAACATGAGATAAAATGACATGCAAACTTGGAATTTTATGTAAAAGGATTGTTGGAACCTTCTAATAGTTATGTTTTACAAAACAACCAACATTAGCTATAAGGTTGTGCTGGATATTGTGAGGTGCACTGAGAACATCAGCAGTCGAATCACTCAGATACTAACTATCAATCCAAAAATTGATATTTCTGCCATCCTTAACAATCCAACTAGTATTAGCTTTAAGGTTAAGCCAATGACAAGTAATAGAAGGTCATATGGGAGAAGATTTATAACCAACCAAAGGTATTTTGTTTCAAAGAAAATATGCCCGCATGAGAGCAACCCAAGGTTCATCAAAGTGCAAGAAGTTTTAGGCTAACTTTAAAGTGGCAACTTCATTAAGCCTGGAAAATGAAACAAATATGAGACCACCTTCACAAAAAGATTTATAAACTTGTTTCCATGCTACTGTAATGATCTTGGAAATATTTAAGTCCCTGGCCCAAATAAAATTTTCAACTAGTCTCTCCACCTGTTTCACTATTGCCTTGGGGAATATATATATATATAT